CCGAGTGCGGTAGGCAGCGGCCCCGGCGAAGCTAGGGAGAGAGAGAGAGAGCGGCGGCCGGCCTGAGCAGGCGACCCTGGCCGGAGTCCCTCGAATCGCAGCGCCCGAAGAGATGGGCCGGGCTCCGTGGGAGATGCTCCCAGCGGCAGCACCGCCCACTCAGAAAGCACCCGGCAGGCAGGCGGGAGGCGGGGTGCTGCTGCTGCTGCTGCTGCTCAGCATGCCGAAGGAGGGCATGCTGCTGCTGCTGCTCAGCATGCCGAAGGAGGGCCGCGGCGGCCTCTTCCGTTGTCCGGCTGCTCTGCGAGCAGCTCGGCTGCGCTCGCTCGCCTGCCTCCCCCCCAAAGACGTGGGTGGGTGGATGGGGGTGATGTGTGTGTGCGGTGCGTGGGTGATGTGTGTGTGGCACGTGCGCGCGCACCCCCCCCCGGCCCCACCACTTTCCCCAGGGCCCCCCCAACAGGGAAGCTTTAGCTACGGCCCTGGTGGTCATTCCTGTTCACCTCATTCAAGCAAATCTTCCACCTTTTAAATTAAGCCTTTAACCATGAAAGCATCTTTTTATACTTGGTGGTAGTTTTAAATACCTTGCAAGAAGCCTGGAAGGATTTGCCTCTTATCACTTTCCCTTTCGGCTTTCTTCTGACTTGTCCCCTTATTTTTGTAATGGCCTCTCTTTTTTGAAAATCAAATGTGACCATTTGGGACTTTGCGGGCAACTTTCCATTGATATGAATGGTGAACTTCATAACATTTTGGTCACAGCTCCCAGTCAGGGCAACAGTATCTGTATCTTGCTCTGGGTCTTGAACCCCACTCAGAACCAAATTCAGGATTAGTACCCCTCTAGTCAGGTCCATGACTAACTTCTAACATGAGTAATTTCTTATTTCTAGAAACATAATTTCTTCAGCATAACTTCAGCATATATATTGTTAATGGAAGGGTAGTTGAAGTGACCACTATTACAATGTTTTCTACTTTAGTTGCCGGAGAGCCAGTTTGGTGGGGTTTTTGTTTTTTTAAATAATATATTTATTGGTTTTCACAACTTAAAACATACAAACAAAGACACGGACAAACATACACCTAATTCACCAATTTTGAGCACATCTAACCTCATACCAACCAGTATATTACTCTATAATCATAACATCTTATTCAATTGTTTTTATCCCCCTAATATTGCTAGTCACGTCTTTCATATATCATACTACTTCAGCTCCCTCGAATATATCTATAAATTTTCAACATTTCAAATTCATAGTAATTATTTTCATTACATATTAAGATTGTTTCTTTCCTATGGAGCTGTTGTAATTATCCAATTCAGTCTAGAGTTTAAACAAAGTTTACCTCCACCATCTGTCAGCTATAGCCTACTTTAAACTTTGGTGTAGTGGTTAAGTGCGCGGACTCTAATCTGAGAGAACCGGGTTTGATTCCCTACTCCTCCACTTGCACCTGCTGGATGACCTTGGGCATGCTGTAGTTCTGATAAGAGCTGTTCTTGAAAAAAGAGCAGTTTCTATCAGAGCTCTCTCAGCCCCACCTATCTCACAGGGTGTCTGTTGTGGGGAGGGGAAGGGAAAGGAGTTTGTAAGCCACTCTGAGACACCTTTGGGTAGTGAAGGGCGGGGTATAAATCCAATCTCTTCTTCTGTCTTAAGAAGATCAGCTTCAAGGTGTTGATGAGGCCAGCAATAGTACACTGTCACTTCTGTTATGGCCTGGTTCCCTCATACTGATTCCATAGGGGAATCTATTCCCCTTATGTTTTCTAACTTATTTGACTGTAGGTCCTCTTTGAAAAGCAAAGCAACACCCCCCCCCCAATACAGTCCTTCCTCTCCAGTCTGTAGAGTTTATATCCAGTGATAACTGTATCCCACTGATTTTTTTCACTTTTCTACCAGGTTTCTGAAAC